TGACCCTTGGGGTCCTTCCGGAAGGCTACCCCCCAGGCTGGTGGTGCGCACGTTCCACTATTTCGGGGTTTCCCCTATTTTCTCCAGTTCAAAAACTCCAGTTGGTAGTGAACTGGAAAATAGCGGCAGGTGAAAATGTCCAGTTCATGAAAGCCGGGCGACTTGTGCCTGTTGGGAAAACCATAACGGTTTTTTGTGGAAATTGATTCACGGAGCGGCACCCTCCCCACAATTTGGGGGTCCACGCACGGAGCGACTCGGCGCTGCACTTGCTGCACGGCACAAAAGTGGCGATGACGCGCCTCCACCGTGCCAAGCTGGGCCGTGAGCGGTTGGGTCAATGCATGCACATTCTCTTGCTTGCGGTAGTGTGCGCAGCACTTGGCGAGGATGATCTATTCCTCGTTTTGGGAGCTTATTGGATGCTCAAGTGGCGAGCGTACCTCGAGCTCGTAGCTCCGACGCAGTTAGGCGGCGTGAGGTACGACTTCATGGAGGTCCTTGGCGGGTTCGACTTCAAGGAAGTATTCAGGTTCGAGAAGTCCCACTTCCGTCAGCTGTTGGCGGCGCTGGAACTGCCGCCCGAACTCGAAATTAGGAGGTAAGATGGTACGCAGTGTTTCATGACCTCACGCGGTAGAGAGTTGAGCATGACAGCCTGCGTATGTATGTGTGACACAGGCGGCAAACGAAGGTGCAGCCGTTGGGGTGAGGCTCGTTGATGAAGCGTGAACCGGGCTACGTCCCACGGACATGGGGACGTTCTAGACGCGTCACAACTTTTCCTTTTGTCAGTCGCAGCGTCTCTCTCTCTCTCGTCTCTATTCTCGCTCTCAAACTCTCCATCTCTCTCGGCTAAGTTTTCTTCACGAGCGAAATTTAAACTTTTTTGTAGGCACCGCGATGGGTATGGTCTTGCAGTTCTCGGAATTCAGCCGAGTGTTCGACTTTCGCCGAACAGTATGCTTTATTAAATAGGTTGTTGGCATGTTCTCCTCTATTCTTCTCTTCGATGGCCCCATTGGTTAGGCCTAGCTTCGGTGGGGGGAGCCAAGAGGAGGCAAACTGCACCGCCAACAACAACGTGCCCCGTGGTACACCATCGGTCTGCTCTCCTCATAAGTCTGAATCCCGCGTTCAATTGTCCCTTTCCATCTACTGTCCTGCAGGGGGGGGTTCGGCACGCAAAGAATTCCTGCGAGTCTGGCTTTGGCAGTCACCCTGTGGAGATTCGCAGCTCCGACGACGTTGCTGCGTGACCGGCTGTTCTGGGGCATGGGGGAGACACTGGTATGCGAGGTGTTCAATGTGACGGTAGAGGCCATTCACGAACGATGGGGACATCTTGTTGAGGAGTTGCAGGTCGAAGCAATCCTTTCTAAGATAGATGGTTTCTGTGAAGCAATATCAAACCGCGGCGCGCCGCTCCCACGCTGTTGGGGCTTCCTGGATGGCACACTTAGAAAAATCTGCCGTCCTGGTCGTTGGCAGCGGCTGTACTACAACGGGTGGAAACGATTCCACGCCCTAAAGTATCAGGCAGTCGATTCTCCGGATGGGATCATTCGCCAGCTTTGGGGGCCTATGCTCGGTCGCCGCCATGACGTAGCGCTGCTTGGGCAGAGTAACTTGCTTGGTGTGTTACAGCAGTCGTTCAACGATGCGCAAGGCGAGCCGTACTACTTGTACGGGGACCCCGCGTATCAAAACTCACCGTGGTTGATCGCGCCGTACCGGGGGGGGGTATTGACCCCTGCTGAGAGGGGCTTCAATGCCGCGATGAGTGGTGTGAGGGTAACGGTGGAATGGGGTTTCGGTCGAATCGTCGCCCAGTGGCCCTACGTGGACTACCACAAAAAGCAGCAGGTCGGTCTTAGCGCGTGTGGTCTTGGAAAGCAGCATGCTGTTGCTGGCATCCTGACCAACTGCCACTGCTGTTTCTATCCGAATTCGACGGCACAGGACTTTGACGTTCAACCCCCGTCCCTCGAGGAATACCTCCAGGGTGAGGGCTGAGTAAGGCGTGCTAGTGATTAGTCTTGTCATGCACAAAGGTAGCCGCATATTCGCGTAGGAGACCTGTTGTAGAGTGGCGGTGTGGAGGTCTGATGACGAAGCGCAATGTCGGACGGGGTGCCAGGAACTCGCCCGGTAGGAACAGGGTGTTGAGCTTGAGGGATTGAGAGGCACTCGCACGCCGAAACGTGCTCTTATGTGGTCTGACAGTAATCCAACCTAGGTGCATCGTTCGCGAGGAGCACGTCATGCGTTTGTGGGTTGAGCTCACCGTTGGGGCCGCTTTGACTTGACGAAGGGGCAGAGACCGATGAACTTCTTCGGTGGTGTGAGGCGCCTGAGTCTGAGGCGGAGCTAATATAAGTTTGTTTCAATCACTTGTTCATTTTGTCCTGAATGTACTACACGCACACAAGTTGTGCGAATGGGGGTTCGGTGTGTCCACATATTCCATCCTGGTACACACGTCTTCCCAATTTAAGCACGTCACCTCCAATGATTCAACCGGAAGTATGTATGGCCTGGCACAAGTAACAGCCCCATACTCGGTGCTAGATACTTGGAGGTTCCATATGGAAAAAATGTAACAACCACTGAACCAATCCGAACACCTGAGCCATCTTCTCCATCTATCACCTTCGTCATAATTTGAGCTCAGGTATTCAGTCCCAATTTCCTCCAGAATATGAAGACAAATCACCCTCTTGATCATATCCTCAGTGAACAACTCGATATTCCTCAAGCCGCTAAAACCCAAGAATCATCCTCAGATAATATTCCCATGAAAATTTGACATTCCTTAGGCATGGGGTAGGAGTAATCAACTTGACAATGGAGCCACTCTACCAACCGGTATAAGGCCGGGTCATACATGCCATCCTGCAGAATGGAATCAAACATGAAGACCAAATCCTCAGACAAATCAGAATTTCAAATTGCTGACAAACTTCAAACAAAAATCGGAAGCACCTAAGCCTCAACAACATCCATCTGAAAATGTCAAATCCATCCTCCGGCAACCACCTCACCAACGAAGTAAAAGCCCGAAGTTTCAAAACCTCGAGTAAAACCTTCACCAGGTTCATGGTAGCCCACATAACAAGAAAAAGGACAAGGCGGTCGCACAACCAACGACCGGCGATAGGCAGAGTTGACGCTCCTTCCTGCACAACGCTCACCTCCGGGCGACACGCTGCAGGTGTCAGCACAAACAAGCCCTCACAGCCTCCACCCCGCATGCCAAGGGTTACAGATCACGCATGACGAGAGACACAGGCACCCTCATTCAAACGCAAAGAAGAAAAACAGGAGAAAAAAAAAAAGCAAGGATCAGAGGAAAAAAAAACGAACCAACGTGTCAACCCTCCAGGGGTTCGCCGGTAACGTAAAACGTGCCCGCGAAAAAATGGGAGAATCTTCACAACATGACGAGAGACAAGTATGTATGCAAAACACGACAACATTCGATGGGGGGCGAACAGCAGAAAGGGTTAGTGCCCCTTACGGTCTAATGGCATTGCGATGTCCGGGCGAGACTCCGCGAGTGCTAGCGTCAACAACAAGTCATCGCTACCAGAAACCGCATGCCATGCCAAGGCAGGGAGTACACGATGAGGGACTACGAAAGCACGCTCCAAAATAAAAATAAAAATTACGGGAACAGAACCAAACAAATAGGAAAGACTTCGCCATCAACACCGCAGGTGATTCGCCGAAAACGTGGCACGCGCCCATGAAACACGGACACCGGCGCCCATGAAATACGGACAGACTTTCCCAACGTGAGGACCAGAGGTTATACAATACATAACACAGAGAGACGGCGGGAGAGGTAAGGACAGGCGGCCGGGCGCTGACCCTCCTTCGTGCCGAACGCCAAAGTCTGGGTGAGCCTCGGAGATTGCGAGCGTCAACAAAAAATCATCGCCACATACAAAACGAATGGCTTTGTCTAGGGGGAAACATGACAAGGACTATCAAAAAATGCCTAGACCAACGCGCTGCAAGAGCGTCCTGCGCAAAAAAAGAGAAACATTAAAACCCGAAAGGAAAAAAGAAAACAGCAAACCCACACGCCGCCAAACTTGGACGAGGTTAACTGGAGACGTACGACACTCCCATCAAATACGGGCAAGCCTTCCCTACGTCAAGGCCAAAAATGAAACAAACATGTCAACACATGAAGGCCGAACAACAGCCAAAGACCGGCGGCATGCATGCAGGGATCAGCCTCCATCCTGCAAAACGCCAAAGCCCGGTCCATGCAAATAACCCTACCCCAACAACCACCCATCGCGGAACGCCGTTTGCAGGACGACGCCGCGAGAGCTCATACAAAACGCATCAATGGTACAGGGAAAAAATAAAGAGTACGTACTACACAGGCAACACGCAAAACGCAACCCGTCACGATCGAACAGGGACAGATCGAGACCCTCACCGTTGACGGAACTTGGAAGCCGACCCGCGGTCAGTGATCAGGACGACCTGCCCCCCTTTCTGCCCCCACCCCCACTCCCGTCCGCCCGTGCTTTCACACCGTGCGCGTTTTCGTTTTGACGCCTACGAGACGACTCCGTTGGGGCGGCAAACCGCGCCTGCCCCCCCCGTCCAGATGGACCCCGCACGCGCGTGCCGCCGCTGCCGCTGCCGCCGGCGCCGGCGTTGGGAAGGCTGCCCGCTCCCTGTTCACCGACCCACTGCATCTTAGCGCACTGAGTCGTTCTGTTATATTTGGGGCATCCCCACCAGGTCTTCCCCTTGTTCGGGCCCTGAGGCGTCGGGCACGCAGGGGAGGAGCACGTGAATCGGGGCAGACAGTAGGGAGGGGTTACTGTGTTGAACGAGTCATCACACGGACATATGACAATACATCTATGGAACCCGGGAACAAGGCGTTGACAACAATTCGAAACGACCGCACAGAGAAACCCACCTCCTTAGTAACGGGGCCCCAAATGCGACATGGCTCGGGAATCGGTCTCCCCGCGGGTCACGGCACTCTCACCCCTGTTCTCGGTGATTTTGTCCAGATAAGTGTAAATCTTGGCGGTCATGGGATCATTGCCCATCCACGCCGACAGGGTCTGGACCCCGCGCCTGCGCCTCCCACCTCCGATGCCGCTCCGAGTGGACCTTCCCATCGCGCCCCTCGCGAGATCCTCTGCATCTTGTTCGTCGTCATCGTCGTCTCCGTCTTCGGACGATGCACGCTCGACCTCCCTCTCCATCCTCGTCCTGCTCGTAGAACTTCCCGTTGGGCCGTGTCCGTCGTCGAACAAGTCGTCGTCATCGCCCGACTCAGACGACTTCCGCCGCCTTCTTTGCTTCTTCTCGACGCCGCTAACTCCACCCCCCCTGTCCTGCCCCCTGCCGCGCCCCCTCGAAGACCTCGCACCGGTCGTGCTCTGCTTGGAACGGGCGTGGTGGTCCTCGCTCGCAGTGTCGCGAATATCTCCGGCCTTGGCCGCGTGCGCAGTCTTCTTGCCCTCCTTGGACTTCTTCTCTTCCAGCCCAGCTTCCCAGGCGTGGACCGCTTCCTCTAGCGCTTGGGCCTGAATTCGCGATGCAGTGGGGGTGGGGGCAGTGGGGGGGGGGGGGG